ATGGATCAACCTCTACCGCTGAACCACACGTTGGGGTTAAGATATTCTTATATTTATATACTTATTTTTATTTTCAAACTTTTTTATCATATTATTCATGATATTATTAATATTGTGTAGTTAAACTTTTTTTCTTTCGATATATGATCTTAGGTTTAATATCGGATTCTGTATGAAAAAATACTTGTCAAAAAGAGTTATCATCCAAACATGAATTTTAATACCTTATAAAATTCGTCATTATTTTTCAAATGAAAATATATTGAACTTACACTAAAAAAATATATAATATTTTCTCTATAAAGATTTTAAATTTAAAGTATGCTCAATCTTTTTTTATAAGATTTAATTTATGTCTCAGACATTAATTATTTTTTCTTTTTACAAAAATGTCTTTAATTAAAATTATTTTTCTTAAAACAAAATTATACACAGTATTAGAAGTATTATTAGTATTATTTTTCAATCAGAATTGTAATTTTACTTTAACAATATGTATGATATATAATTTTATTACTCCTTCATTTTAAAATGAGTTCGATTTTAGTATTTGAAAAAATATTTAAAATAACTTCTTGTTTTTAATATAATGTTAATTAAATTTTTTAAAAAAAATTCTTTTCATAAATACTTTAATCACCACAATTAAAAAGGATATATTTATTAATAGATTAAAATTAATTTTTATATGTATAACAATCCTAAATGACAATCTTTTTGAGACCGGGAGAGTAAAAGTCAGTATATATAGTTGAAGTATCGATTTAACTAATTTAACTAACACTCTTCAATTTTATGAACCATTTCGAAATTTTAATAAGTTAAAAGATTGATTAGTTGAAATATCGTACAATTTTGTAGGCAAAAATAGTTATTTAGTCTAATTGGACTGCCATATGTGAGTCAATGGTGCTAACAAAATATTTAGTGAGTTAACGCGGCATAGTTGACGCCATCTTATTGTAATTTAAGGGCTAATTTGACCGACGATTTTCAATTTTAGAAACTACTTTAAAAATTTAACAATTGTTTGAATTAAAATGGAAATTCCTTAAAATAGTATTTTATTTGGAAAAAAAGTTGAAATAAAAAGTATTTTAGGAATAAATGTATTTTTAATTAATATAAAATACTTTCCTTACAGTATTTGTTTTCGCTTTCTTTTCCATTTATCTGAAAGATAACTTTTTTTATTGGTTTTTTTCTTTTTCTTTTTTTAATTCATAAGAAAAATTTATAGTAATAATAAAGTGGATTGTCTCATTTAGTGTCCACGATTTTTTTTACTTATTTTATCCTTAACGATTATTAATATCAAAAAGGAAGGTGAATTTTTTATTAATATATATCTAAATGACATATCATTCTTATTATACTTGTAACACTATATTTTGATAATATTTATTGTTTTATTCAATCATATATTATGACTTATTGTTTAATCATTGAGAATTTCTAAGAATTTAGAATTTTTTAAGAGTTTTCAATTGTTGGAAGTTGTTCTTAGCAAAGATCAAGTTTGACCTATTAGGAAAGGGTATATAAGATTTTTTTTAAGAAGTAGATTTCAAAAATTCATTTTCTTAAAAAAGTCAGAGAGAAGTTAAAGAGAGGGATGAAGTCAGGGATCTTTCCTTCGCTCTTTTAAGTTTTTGTAGATAACACAAAACTCTTCCTTGGAGATTGTTGAGTAGTTGTGTTGTGATTCAAACCCATAGAACTGAGAATCAAAGACCTCAAAGGAATAGAGCGGAGTTCTTGGAGGGTCTCATTCTTTTCTTTTCCTCCGCTCTTGGAGGGTCTCATTCTTTTCTTTTCTTCCTTTTTTCTAGATTGATTCAAGGGTAAGGAAAACTAGAACTTAACTCCTTGATTATTTATGATGTTGTATGTTGAGGTTGGGGTTTTGGTGACCCTTGCAGCATGTTGAAGTGAAATTGATGATTTTGGTTAATTATTGGCTACATGTGTTTTTGGTTGGAAATGAGATGGTTATGTTGTGTAGTTGTAGAATAGGGCATTGCTTGTTGGATTTTCCTTAGTTTTAGATGTGGAAAGTCAAATTTATAATTTTGTCAAGTGCAAAAATCACCATCACGCCAAACACAACTTTAAGGCATTGGGCATAATGCAGACTAGAGACTCTCTACCTGACTCTCGTTTGACCAATGATTGGTAATGTCGAGCATGAATTAGAGAAAAGCTTTTTGATTTGGTCATGTTGGATGTGGGTTGAATTACATTCCGCATGTATGTCCTTGGAGCTCTTTGACTATGTGACATCGATCCCTGGGTGAGTGGCGCTAGACGTGATTAAGATAGAAGCTTTCTACCTTGACAACATCAAGAACCAGTATTGTGACGCCAAATGTGAGTCAGATAGAGGATCTCTACCTAAAATGAGGTAGGCGTGAGTTTAGTCACATCAAGCGTGATTGACATATTGGCTCTCTATCTCATTCATGTGGAGATCAAGTAGTTTGACATCGAGCATGACAAGCCAAAGGCTCTCTACCTTAATGATGTCGGGCACGAGATGCTAAATGAAAAATGTGTTGTTATTTAACCAAGTGTTGAACATTGTGTGTATAAGTAGGAATGTTCACATGTTGTATGTTGTAGTATATACATTGATCAAGGATGATGTATATTGATAATTAAACTATAGAAAGGTGTAAGTTATTGAATTGTGGAGAAGTTGTATGTTGGTAGTGTTGAGAATAATTGTGTTGACCATGATTAAGAAATTGACTCTTGAAGTGAAGTGTTAAGTCTCCTTTATAATCTTAATTGATGCGATATGGTGATCAGGTCGAGCTATTCTATCTATAAGTAGCTAAATGTTGATCCATTTGGGAACCAGGTCAAGTCATACGTGTATAAAACAAACAATATAAATCTTTATGGGCAAGGTCGAGGCTAAAATCCCTAACTAAGTGTTGGAAGAGGTATAATATTTAGAGGGCAATTGGTAGGCTAATTTCATAAGAGACTTACTTATGCATGTTAAAGTCGTGTTAGGCTCACACCCAAGTTATTCTACTTTGAAAGAAATACTAGACTTTTAAGTGGAGAAATTTGATAAACTTGTTGTGTTATGGATTAATATTTAAATTTGTTGTTAATCTAGCAAATCCAAAAAAAAATCATGTTAAGTTGATTCAATTGAATCAAACCACTTAAATTGTTCACATGTATTGTAAGAGATTTATTAGTTGAATACGTGACGACATATGTAATTGTTGTGTTGTACATATGATGTGTTGATATGTTGTGTTTATTCATATGCCATGTTGAGATATCGATAAGTTGTATGATGAGAAATTGGGTAGTTGTGTTGCAAGTGGAGAATGTTGCTATGTTTGTTAAGTTGTTACTAGAAGTGGTTGAAAAGTTGAGTTGTTTTAGTTGTAGTATATTAGTCCATTTCCCTATATTGTTGATTATTTTTGAATACTAGCTTACCATTCTATATTTTCTTGTGGTTGAACTACGATGAGGAGTAGGATAGTAGGTTGGAGGAGGAATATATTTTAAGAGACACGCAGGAGAATGGTAGTGTTATCTTAAGTTACTCTAATGTAGTTATCTTGTATAGATGTTACTTGATTGTCAATTAGGATTTTATGCTTCTAGTTGGATTTTGTTGTGCTTAGGCATATATGTATAGGATCTATGTTATAGTTTCATTGAGGAACTTTTATGATTTCACTCAATTAGTTTCCTACACATACACATATATATAGTTATATGTATATTCATAAATTGTTTGCATATTAGTCTTAATAATTAGATGTATATTTTTCATTACTAGTAGCAGAACTAAAATATAAGAACCTGTCAAGTCGTTATAATATTTCTCATTTATTTATATTATATCTTTTTAGGATATAATACTATAATGTGTTTTAGGTTCCTTATTATTATTTTTTTGGGTGAAAAATAGTTTAAATTCTTACATTTAAAAAAAATTGTATTTTTAATCCTTTTTTTAACATGATAAATTTATTTCGTGATCAAGTCAAAATAGAGTATAGAATCTAGAATGAAAGTCTCCATATTTTAGAAAGAAAAAAATGATACTTGTATAATAAATTATATAATAATTTGTAATTTTTTAACCACATCAATCAAGAACAAAATTGATCTCATTTTAGGAAGATAAATAATACTTATATAATAAATTGCATAGCAATTTATATATTTAAAAGAA